GGTTTCCCAAGGTTTGTCCCTGGCCTGATTCCATTCTTTACCTTAGGCATCCACACTGCGAACCCTCTCTCCCCATATGAATGACAGGCTATCACTAACCTCTCTTACACTCCATTGACTTTTGTCACAATGATCTGCGGGTAACTCCACTTGCACTTTCAGTGTTTATCCCAATAGAACTTTCTCCATCCCACACATCCAAAACTAATTCCACCCATTTCTTTTAACAGAACCACCATTCTTCCATTTGCCAAGGTCCAAAACCTCAGTATTATTTTCAATTCTTTCCGCATCTCAAACCCACATACAAATAACCAAGTCCTACCAATTGCCCACCTGAAGCACTTCTCGCATCCATCACTTCTCTCCATTTCTACTAACCTACAAACTTGTTAAGGACCTTAAAACCTCTGGCCTTCTACTTCTTACCTTCCTCTCGGCCATTCTGGCCTCCCACAATTTTCCTACACATACCTTTTCATCTGAGGCTCTTGACCGGCTGAGCCTTAGAATCATGAGGTGCTTTTATAAATAAACAAAACCAAGGTTCACTCCCCCTGATTTTACTGGCCTGGGGCATGGTGCAGGCAAGAGCATTGTTCTTTGGTGGTGCCTTTTGCTCTCAGGTGATGTTAATATACACAACAGCTGAGGCTGAGAACTACTGCTGGCCCAACTGGAACTACGTTTTTCACAAATACACACCTAGTTTCTTAAACCAAATTTACTCAGCTAGTTTTGTCTGGCTTCCTTCTTATGGCACATGCTTCTCTGCTGTGTGCCATCATGAATCCATTGTGTTTTACAAATTTGTCCAATTTTACAATGTATAAATTAACCTGAAACGTTTATTCAACCACTATCTGCCCCCTATAAGCCACCCATTTACCATATACATAGATGCGACATTAGAGTGGTTGTTAAATAAAGTTTACTTGGCAACTAGGTCATAACGTTAGACAAATAACCTCTCTGAACTTGGGTTTCTCATTTTTAAAATACAGGATTAGATGGTTTCCAAGTTTCTTTCTACATGGAAACTATGACTTTATGATTATTTTATCAAAACAAGCTCTTGGACTACGAGTGAATGATGCTTTCGTTATTCTTTACCTAAATCCTCAGTTCAAAACAGTTCTAAGTTCTTGGATGGTTTTTGCAATTAGAATCATTACTATACCTAGTACGATTCTGATAGATAACATCAATCTTTGTAATAATGCAAAACAGAACATCTGAAGTAACTTTTTTATCATTGTAATCCTAATGCAGCCAGAGAAATGTAAGAACCACTATCACACAAGTTCTGAAATCCAGATGCCAAGATATTATTACCTTTTACAAACTGATGAAATCTGCTCTACTACCACCATATAAATCTGGCCAGAGCAAACACACATGCTCAGCTTTCAAATTAAGTTGTTAACTTTAATATTCATGTATGAAAAACAATCACGGCAATTAAGTCATTTGCTACTTATTTCTGATGGCTAAGTGCAAATAAGAAATGCAGAAAAAACACTCCATTTCCTAAATTATGGTCAAACATATTAATTATGAATGAAATTTTCTGATAAAGACAATGGAATGAAGTTGAATGTGCAGAAGGCACTGGGCTGGCTGTTAAGACAAGAAGAAAAACCTGTATTCGATGAGAGAAGAGAGTCCCGGCTCGGAACCTAGCCACTGCAAAGTTTATCTTCTTTTTTTCTTATTTGACAGGTAGAGTTATAGACAGTGAGAGAGGCAGAGAAAGGTCTTCCTTCCATTGGTTCACTCCCCAAATGGCTGCTAAGGCCGGTGCACTGCGCCGATCCGAAGCCAGGAGCCAGGAGGTTCTTCCTGGTCTCCCAGGCGGGTGCAGGGGCCCAAGCACTTGGGCCATCCTCCACTGCCCTCCCGGGCCACAGCAGAGAGCTGGACTGGAAGAGGGGCAACCGGGACTAGAACCGGTGTCATATGTGATGTTGGCACCGCAGGCGGAGGATTAACCAAGTGAGCCACAGCGCTGGCCTGCAAAGTTAATCTTCTTAAACTACACTTTTGTTTCTACATTCTCAAACTAAAGATAATCAGGTTAAACAAATCAGTTCCAAAACTGCATGATAAAATCACTCCAGAAGCTTTCTGAAAATACAGAATACTAGGCCCCTCTCCTGGAGATTCCTCTTGACATCCGAAGCTACAATACACTCCTGAGATAAATTTGTTAACTAGTGACCTAGTATTTTTGTACTGTGTATGAAAACTAGTAAGATACAGTTCGAGATACATCTCCAGCTCCAGAATTCCACTATATATAGAATAACACACATAGTAGGTATTCAAAAAGTATAGAAAAATGGCTTGGCAACAGTGAGAAAATTGGAAGAATCATTGTCATGTTAAGTCCCTGGTTCTTTTGATTGTATAATGTCAGTGAAATAATGAGGAAAAAAAAAAGGCTTGCAACCATCAATTTGCCAAAACCAGGATTTTGTTTCCAAGATGCTTAAAAACATTAAACTCTCTTTAAATCTAAAAAAAAAAAAAAAAGTACAGTATAGGTAGGATACTGAGAACTGTCTAGATGTCCATTTTTCTGTTTATTTTGATATTTTAACGTTCTTAAAAGAGATTACATGTTTTGTTAAGAGTTTTATAAAAAATTTGCCATGGGATATATCATATATTAAAAACGGAAAAATTTAGGAAAAGGAAACAATTTCAAAAGTTAAATCAATCCTCCAGAAATCAATCCTCTGTGTTTGATTCCAGTATCAACTTCAGGGTCAAAAATGTAATTAGTTTTCAACTCATTTCCTTTCACTTTGAAGACCACTGTTCTTTGTTTTTGTTTAGTTAACAACAGGAATGTTCTATGGTTTGGATTTTTAAAACTATACCATATATATTTGTATATTTAATATATATTTGTTACATATTGTATATGTTTAAATATTAGACAATGTTCACCTTAGGCTATCACAAAAAGAAACATGTCTACTTTTTCACATTTAATTTTCCTGCTAGGTTATATTTTATAAACTGTGTTAACAGGAAACCACTCAATTACAGAAACTCTGTATTGGCTTTATTCACAATTAAGTTATCTAAATAAGTAAGACTTCTTTGAAGAGAAAAAATTGGCAGGCAGAAAATAAACTGGAAAGGAACCACATAACAAAAAGATCCATTCTGTCAAGCTGTACCAGCTGAGAAAGATGGGACAAACGTGTGGAATAAAAAGATTAGACCATCTACTTGGTTATTTTCATTCACCAATATTAAATAAATGGCAGTGGCATTGCAAGAAATTTCAGCTGACTCTTTCAGAGTCTTAGCACTTTAAAATGACAATCAGTATTAGTTTCAAAAGCTTAGGACTCCTAAGTACTTGAGGACACACCCTATTATTTTTCCCTCCTGGGTTTAAACTATCACAAAGGAGGAAGTTTTGAATCAAAGTGTTTATGCTTTGCCACCTGACAAGCTTCTGTTAGAAATCTGAACCTCTCACCTACTGTCACTTCCAAGTATGGACCTGATATTATGCCAGAGTGCATGAAGAGCCAGCCTACCGGCTGCAGATCACCATCTTAACCTTATAATTTTCATGTATCCTGAATATCACTAAAAGTGAAACCTACAGCATACCTCATTCTCATAAAAGTTATAAATTTCATTCAATAAAAGCTACTGCTTCTTAGTCTGGGTAGTCTAATACAGACAGCTCTTACACAAACTCCTAATTATACCAAGGGTCTGAATAATAAAGAGAAAAACCACATAGTATTTTGAGGGACTCCATGTTTATAAATTCATTAAGGCACTCATCTCAATGAAATAGTGTAAATATTAAGGGACAAGTGATAACACCACATAACTTGAGTACAAAAGGAAAACACTCAAGTTCACATTTAGAATACTATGAATCATACACCCTTCAGAATTAACATTCAAAACATCCTCCTGCTTTTACAGCATGGAGTAAGTGGCTTGATAGGAAAGCATTAAAACAGGTTTCTACTAACTATATCTTGTCTATATAAAACAAAGTCAAAGCCTATTTACAAAGAGAAAATACTCCCAAACTAATAGCCAATCCATCCTCGAGTAATGACCAAACAAAAACCTAGGTAAGTTCTGATAACCTAGGTCCAAACTCTTGTTCTTACATGCACAGAATTATTCTCAAACACATCACTTAATCATAGAGAATTAGTGAGATAGAGTCTGAGAATTCACACATACAAAATTTTACCAGACACGTAAGACTCCACAGTGTGAGGACTCACGTGATTAAAATGCTACCAGACCCAAAGATGCTAGCTAGCTATGTAGTGGTTTTACAAGACTGGAAAGTAAAATTTCAAAGTATACACTTTTTCTATATGAAGTTTTAAAGTCCAAACGTGAAGAAGTGTAATTTGATCAGGCCACATTAAAGATTTGCTAGAGGAAATTAAAGGCTAGGAAAGGAATGTTTTTAAAACATCTCTGACAATGTGAACTATGCCCTTGGTACACTTGAACTTCTAGAATGCTTTATTAAAGTGACAATACCAGAGACTCCTAGCATGTCTACAGAACTAAATTCCTTAAATCTTGTTGATGAAGATTACTTTCTGATTAATCCAAGAAAGTAAAAAAAGTTTTCAGAAACTTACAGCTATGACTTATTTCATGAGACCATGATACACTCGAGACCTTGTGCTTTCAGAGATTATGATATACTCAAAACCTCCTGCTTACAAAGTAGCCAAAATAGGGAACAATTTAATATTATAAAAAACTTTTACTTTATAAAATAAATCATTTGGGAATATTTTCAAACAGAATTTAGATTACAAAATATTGACTAATGTACTTTCCAGCATACATCTAGCTGAAAATTTGAGCTCACCTGTGCCTACTTTCAGTGTCTTAAGAGAAAGCAGTAAAAATGGGGGTATATGAAGAAAAAGTAAAATAACAAAAATCACTGTAACAGTACAGGTTAATAAATGAAGAAATCAAGAGACAGTTTCATTAATTAATATATTTTCTGCATTATAGTTAACATATGTACTTTCTTCGTGTCACCTTATTTTCTGTTAAGTATTGATATTTTGTAATATTCAGACATGAGTACATTTGAACAGTCTTTTGCAATAAATATCATAAAATAATAGAGATTCGCATAATAAATATTCTTTACAATAAAAAAGTTTAACAGACTTTTGTCTTAAAAATAGTCAGAATTCAACTTTGTGATTTATACATAAAATATACAAAAAGCACCACAATTTGTGGTTAAGGCAATGAAAACACAGAAAAGATTAGCATTACTCAGCTGTTAACTAACCAAGGGGCCAAAAGGACCACTGAGCAGCCAAGCTCACTTCAGGCAGCATAGTTCTGTGACACCTATAGATTGATCAGCTGTAACTGTCAGCCTCAGTTATCCAAGTGCCCTCAATGACAACCAAAATTTGGTGAAGAACGTGGGGTGTAGAAGGAAGGTGGTTGTGTCCTTCACAAATATGAAAGCTAGAATAAGGACGAGCAAGATACAACCAACATATCTCCAATGTGAAGATTTACAATATAAAGCGAAGCTAAAATCACGTAGAAAGCAGAGAGAAAAACAAAACGTTTAACACCTGGCACCTCCACAGTAAGATAATACCAAAACTGAGGGGAGAGAACTTTGAAAGACAAAAAGAAGGGGGCAGTGGTTAAAGAAAAAATTTTATGCTATAACAAAAATATATCTCCCATTCTACTTAAGGGTCCAATGCTAAGATAGCCCTAATTGGAGACAGATTTAACACATAGCTTATTTAAAAGCAATTCAACGGTTGCTTCTTTAAAATAAATCTCCCTGTTCCCACAGTACCCAATCAAAAACAGCTCTAAACCACTGTCGTCTGGGTTTTATGTGTATGTGCACACATACAACTTTGGAAAGTTGCTTGCAGAACAAAAAAGGCTACACAGAAGCCCACCAGCTCTCAATACCCTCTCGAGTGGATGTAGAGGCTCTTGTCCCACCTGGGAGCCAGGTGCAGTTTCACAGTCCACTCTAGCTGATGATCATCCACGAGAGAATAGTAAAATCCATGAGTCAAACCTTGGGAACAGAGGAAGAGAAGGCAGGAAACAGGAAACAACTCTTAAGGGAAAGAACATCAGTATCTAATAGGATCTTTTTGAACAGCCACAACTTGAAAGCTAGAAGTTCAGGAGGTCCAACCCACCTCCAAAAATCATGACGGTTTCCCCTGACCCCGGGAAGGGCAGCTCTCCAGCTTACAATACACAGTGTTGGAGTTCTTACATCTGCACCCTGGGCGATGGATCCAGTCATAGCACCCCCTGCAGAGCTTCAGGCATCCCTTGGCAGGAGGGTAACAGAGTAAGCAAGGTAAAAACAGAGACATGGCTCCCATACACAGGTATCTAGAGCAGCAGTGGGACTGTGAACAGGAGCAAGGATTATCCGAGTAAGAATCTCCTTCGTCGTCATTGGAGCAGTGGTAGAAGATGCCTTTGACTAAGCACATGCAGGTTCCATACTCCACCATGCTCTCGGCAGAGCAGAGGCATTGCCGGTTGCAGGCCAAACAGGATGGCAGGGTCCTGGGAGCTGTGCATTCCCCACACTTGCACTTCCCACACTGTTCACAAATGAACTTGTGCCGTGTTAGGTCCTCTTTCAAGGAACCCTTCAAGTCATCCACAATCAGTTGCTTGGGCTGGGTCCGAATCACCCTTTCGGACCTGTGACCAGGGACTGGTCTGCTGGGTGGTGACCTTCCTAACAGTCCCTGCTCAGAAGAGGCACTGCTGTTGCTCCCAGAACTGGCTGCACTTCCAGTGCTGGTTGATCTGCTCAAAATGGGGCCCCTGGCAGTATTTGCAAGTCCCACATGTCCCAGGTGGCTCGTAGGTCTATGCTCATAGTTGTTATTCACATTAATTGGTATGATTTCATGAGTCCTTTCATGCTTTTCTTGTCTCGGTGCTGTCCGAGGAGCAGGTCTTTTCACCACGGAAGGCCCCTCTGTGTATTCATTGCTGCCTCTGATGGCCTTGATTTGGTCTAAGGACAAAATAGCAGCAGGCTGACTCTCTCTCTCATAGTCTAATCTCTGACGGCTATCCAAAGCAGGCTGCTGGATCACAACTAAGGAACTGCCACTGCCATGTTGATTTTGGGGATCCATGTGTAGTGATCTCGGATTCTGGCAATCAGTAGAAACCTGGCATGCATCTGAAATCCTAAAAAGGAAACCAAAATGGGGAAAAAAAGAGAGAGAGACAAAGCAAATAAATAACAGGAAACTTTTTTTTTTGGGGGGGGGGATCCTGTCAAGTCACAAATTGCCTAAACCACCTGGTTATGATCGCCTTCATCAGCGGATTACAATGATGCTGGGGTCCTGGCCAGAGTCCAATTCCAAGAGAGGCTATGGACCACATCATAGAATAAGAATGTAAGCAAGAGTCCATGCCATAAAAACTAGAAGTTTTTCCAAGTTTTTAAAAGTGGAATCAAGAGGAAGTAATGCCTTCCTGTTTGCAAATCTCATAATTAAAATGGAGCTTGCCTTCATATGGAACCCTGACTATAAGCACTGGACTAGCTGTCATCTGAACAAAGTTCACTGTCAGTTCATCAGTGTTTTTGCGTAAAAGAAGAGATCCATTCTTCTAAAAAAATCAAGAATGGCTTTGGTGCTGTTGCCTTTTTGTTATTTGTGTGCTACTACAAGCACTGGCTTGATGAGGAGGAAATTAATGCAGGCATTTGCAAAAAACCTCAAGAGATGCAAAACTAAAATGGAATCTCAAGTCATTTTCAGTAGAAATTGGGATTCTGATGCTCACTTTTCCTCAATGAGACACAGAAATGAGCACACGAGGAACGCAAGAGGTCCTGGTGTTTTACAGCCACTACAATACATACACAAAACCCAATGCACATTTCTGTGAATGTTCTGAGCATTCCTACTGGAAATCATGAAATGCCTTTTTTAAAAGCTTAAATAAGGGCTCACTCACATAACAAGATAATTTTTATGCACAAATAAGCGTTAGGCCTTTCAAGCAGTGTGAGGAAATCCTGGCTATCTTAATTATCTGTATTTCCTCTAATTTAAAAATCCTCATTTAGAGGACGGGGCCTTGATTTTCAAAAGTACTGCCAGCTCTGAATCAATGCGCCTCTTGTAATAAAATAAGTACTCTAACATCCTGATAAAAACAAACATCTATGTTTCCATAAAAGTCGTAGATTACTAATTTATGATGTATTCTTCATTAAAAAAAAAAAACCTACCAAGCATAAAAACGTTTCCCTTCTCATCAATGGCAAACTAAAATATTTTTCACACAAACACCTTCCAAGTCTACAGATTCAACCCAACGGGAAGAATGAAAAGAAAACACACACACACACACACACACACACACACACCCTGCCCATTCTCCACTAGGACTCTGCGCCAAAACACTCCGTGCCGGCTTAAGGAGCAGAGCAGAACACGGGGCACTCCCGGCGGCCACCGGCGCCCCGAGACCCTGCCCCGCGCTCGGTGCGGTACCGTGCCGGCGTCCCGCGCCTTCACGCCGCTCGCCCCGCGCGCGCCCAGCGGCACGGTCCCGGCCTGCCGCCTTCCGTCCCGAGGTCCCCGGGGGCTGCTGGAGGCTCCGAATCCTCCCTCCAGCCCAGTACCGCCACTTCTCAGCCCAGAGCTTTGCGAGCACGGGGGGCGGGGAGGGGGCTCTCAATGTGCCAAGAGTCCTGCAAAGGGGCCCTATCATCCCCACCACGCGCAACTTTCATTCTGATGGCCGGAACCAAGTCCACGCTGGCGGGGAGACTAAGTCGCCCAGATCCCACCCCGACTCTCCCAAACGCACAAAACCCCAACAAAATCTACCGCCTGGCACCCGAAGGGGAAGCCCCCCGGCCCCTGCCCGCGCGCGCACACGCGCCCCCGGAGCCGCGAGGCGAAGCGGCATACCTGTGCGGGCAATCCCGTCACATCCTCCGCGTCCCCGGGGGTCTCCAGCACACTCTCTGCGCAGGACACCGAGGGTTCCGGCCAATCGCGCCGAGCCTTCCGAGCGAGCCCGCGGCGGCCGGCGTCTAGGCGAGCGTCCGTCTACACTTTAAAGGACACGCCGCAGTCGCGGAGCGCTGGGGCCGAGCGCGCCGGGGCAGGGGCCGCAGCGGAGCGTCGCCGCCACATTGCCCGGTTACGACGGTGGAGCTGCGCCCTCTGCAATCCGCGCTGAGAGGAGCGGGGAATAAATAGTGGACGCAGAGGAAGGAAAAGGAAAAAGTTATGAATGAAAACAAGTTTTCTCTCTCTCTCTCCCTCTAGCTCCGGCAGGAGGCGGGAGGAGGCTGAGGTTACCATTACCTCAGGAGGGCGGACTTCCCCACTGTTAAAGTGGCAGTGCCCTCTCCCCTCGCCTCGCCGCCGCTCCCCAAACAAGCTCCGCGGCGCACGCGGGTTCTGTCCCGGGGTGGGGGGCTTCACCGCCCTCCACGAGCGCGCGCACACGGTCTTTCCCGACCCCACGTCCGAGCGCGGACTCCACCGCAGAAAGCCCGCTGGTGGCACAAGCCAGGACACTCCTGCCCCCCACCCAGGGAAACACCCCCACGAAAGCCCCCCGAATCCATCTTTCGCGTGGAGACCACAACCTGGGCCACGGCAACACCCGCTCCAAGCAACTAAGCACCGGAAGACCCTGCCTCGTCGTTGTCCTGGGCCGCGCAAGGTCGCCCCCCCACACACCCCGGCTGCGCACCCCCGAGCTCCCCCGCCCCCGCCGCCCTGAGCCGCAGCCCCCAGGACGCGAGGGGCGGCGGGCGGAGCCTGCGGCGCGCGGCCTCGGCCCTCCCCGGCCCTGCCCCTCCGGTTCGGGAGCCCCGCACCTGCCGCGCCGAGCAAGCCCCGCCCGCGCGCCGCCCGCCCGCCCGCCTGCCCGCGGGCTGCCGCCGCCGCGCACTCACCTAGGCCGAAGCGCTGGAGGGCAGCCAAGCCGAGCGAGCCTGCCCTGGTCTCGGTGCGGGCGGCGTCGTGCACGCGCCGCATCAACCGCGGCGCGCAGGACGAGCAGGCATCGCCCAGGCTGCAAGGAGTGGGCCCGCGCGGCCTCCCTCGCCCCCGCCGCAGCCGGGCAGGAGCGCTCCCCGCGGCCCCCTTCCGGCTGCGGACAGCAGTTCTGCGGCCGCTCGCCTTCGGCCGGGCGCGCAGACCTCTCACGGCTCCAGTCCCATCCACCTCGGGGCCGTTCCTCTGCAGCCCGACTGGCAAGAGCTAGCTAGTCAGAGTCCCTTCGGGAGGCCTCTCCGAGTCTCAGAAAAGCGAGCAGGGGCGCGGCGGAGAGAAGAGTGCGTGACGGGCCAGCTGACTGGCACGGTGTGCTCGGACCAGAGTGTACTTCTCGGGTGCCGATCGCTCCTCGCGGGGAGGGACGGAGGGGCGGCGGCCTCCTGACGAGTGAAAATCCACGTCACGGGCGTTCGAGACTTCACGGCGCCCGGGACAGGGCTCGCACAGGCGTCGGGCGGGCGGGTCGCGGAGCCGCGGCAGGCCCCGGCCGGACCCCGGAGGGCACGCGCCCGCGAGGCTGCCGCTGCCGGGTGGGGGGTAGTAGGGGGGTTGTCTGCCGCTTTGGGGAGGGGGCTGTGGAGGAGCGAAGTTTGGGGGTCCTTCTCAGAGAGAAAACAGAGACCGGCGTCGTCCCTTGTCCCCCGCACAGGCCGAGGCGCTTTCTCGGTGCCGCACGCCGGGCAAGTGGGGGGCACAGTGTGTCCGCGGGCAGCCTCTCCCGGAGAGCGCTCAGTCCCGGTCCTCCGACCCTGCGCGTCCACGGCCGGGATCCCCGCTACAGGGTTCAGAGAGAGAAACTCATGAATTTCCTTTCTCCCCAGGCCCTGGGCCGCCCGCTCCGCCGGGCCGAGGGAGCGGGGCGGGCCGCTGGCCAGCTCTCGCCCGCCGCCCGCAGCCCGCTGCCATGTGCCGCCTGTTGCTGCTGCCCGTGATTGACAGGCCGGCGCACGGTCGGCGTGTCAGCGGCGAGCCCAAGTAACATGCAGACTTGCACGTTTTTGCCCAAGTGCTTTTGCCCCCTTGGAATGCCTGGGAGTTCAGACCACGTTCAAGCAACGCCTCTGCGCACTGGAAAGCAATACACAGGGACGGGAAATTTAGGTTTTAAACCATAGCTTCTCTCGGGCTTCGGTCGCCAACAATGCCTTAAACAAACACGCAGTTGGTCCGCATACCGAGTGCCAGCCCCTCTTCGGCATCAGCGGCCCTGTGTTTCACGCGTCCGACCGCTCAGACCTTAAACTTGATACTCTTCGGTTTAGGAAAAAAAGTGAAAGGGACCCTGCTTTTTCGTTTAGTGTCAGCATTTACGTTGAGAGCATTTAGCAGTGGGAAGGCTGCTGGTGTTTTGAAATGCAACCAGTCCTCTTGGCTCTAAAGCGAGTTCAAAGACCTGTTCAGTCCTTGCAAAAGCCCACATTTCTCACCTTACCGTTCCTAAAATGTCTACGGAAGGAAAGGAAGGAACCGGCTCTTACCTAGTGCAAAGATTGCAAATTGCTTTTCAGGCACATGTACAGCGTCTGTAGCTGTTCCTTATCCAGGGCAGGGAGCTCTGTCTGCTGCTATCACTCTGCAAACCAGTGCGTGCTTTACAGAGCGAACCCACTCCCGCTCCGCAGAATTTCAGCTCCTCGCCTCCACCTCCACCTCCACGGCAGGACACGCCTCCAGTGATATCATGTGTCAATCACCCGGGCCGCCCGAAAACCTGGAACAGGATTTCCTCAACTGCTGTTTCCTCTTTCGTTTGTATGTACCAGCTTGGAGGTGTTGCCCTATTGACTCGTGCAATAAACATCCTCTGAAGCTTCGGGATTGCCTCTAAACATTCTGCAAATGCAGTCTGTCAGAAAGGAATGCATTCGAATTTAGCTATCAATCTTTCGTTACTCATCTGCAAGTGGAAGAATTGCTGGACTCCACCCTTGGAGTTGAACTAGAAAAGAACTGTGAACAACAAAAGATGAAAAAAGTTGTATGCCAAGCCATCACTTCCGATCAACTACAGGGGACTGTATATTGATATTAAATAGTTGGTAATGAGACATTCCAGTTCCTATTTAAAACTTCGGAAGAAGTGAAATCTTCAGTTTCAAAAGGTGGCACTCGTTGCAAATGTTAATAGAACGAGGTGAAATTTCCTGCTGTGAGTTTTTAAGTAATTGCTCTACCTTTAGCTTGTGATGCAATTTTCCAAAAATTAATCACATGAAGAAAAAAAAACAAATTCCTTACACTTTGTATTTGTATCATTTTTGCAAAAAAAAACCACCAACTTATCTATTTTTAAGAACCAGCTAAGAATCAATTAATTAAAATAGAAATAATTTACCAAGAAGTTTTATAATTGTTAATAATTTTATGTGTCACTGGAAGCAAATAGGCAAGAAACTTGCTTTTTGCTTCCTTGTAAATAATATATCTAGGTATTCATTATCAGAATCATGTAGTACATACTATAATGAAAACAACTATATGAAATCTAAGGTTCCATTGAGACTTTTAAAAGATACTTGAAAACTAAAAACATAATTAGTGGGAAGGAAATATTTTTCCAGGACTGCCTATATCAGGGATAGCTTAAAGTCTTTGGCAAAACAAAACAAAACTCTGGAATCTAACTCACATGTAAATATAAATTTGAATATGGAAATTTTCACTTCAAAATAATTTTTAAAATCTTTACAATAGCAAGTGATCCTTTAGGAACCCTTTTCTATACTGGACAACTGTTTGAGAACTCAGAAATTTAAGTTGCATTTGGAATAGCTCCCAAGGCACCTAGGGCATTGCTAAATTATCATCAACTATGAAAAAGCATCACTAGACAATAAAATTGAACATGAATGAAGCCAAGAAGTTTCATTTTCACTCTTAATATATGGACAATATTAAAATAGGCTCTTATAATGCATAAAATCGGTTTTATTATATACATATTCTAATTTTTTCATAGATCTTGTTAGATTTTGGAATGTAATAATGTTTTACTAATGATGTATATATTTCTTATGAATGTAAATGATTTATAGTAGTCAAATCCTAAATTAATCACCACATCAGAGTATGTCATTTGAAAACTGTCTTCTCAGTCATCTGCACAATTTGGGGAAGAGAGGTCAGTTCACCAATATGTCAAAACCAGGAGAGGGAGCACTGAGCATTCCAATTCCATAAATCCTACAAAAATATATTGGAAACATTTCTATTATAAATACACTTCCAACTATTTTAACCAGAGATGTGCTAAATAATTTTCAGTACTTTTAATTATAGTAATAAATAATATTCATGAGACTTTATGTAAAACATCATCATCATAGGTCGTGTTCTGTTTAGGAATCAAATATTCTGCTGCACAGAGTTGATTAGTGACACTTTGCATCATTTAGCATTAAAAGGTATCAATATATTTTTCTCTAAATATTACAAATAAATATAAGTAGATCCTTATCTAGGAGATATTTAAAGAAACCCTGATCTAGGAGATATTTAAAGAAACCTATCTCTCTTTTCAGTTGCCTACAACTATAAGACTTTGTACAAATTCTAGATTTTTAGCTTAAAAGAAATACAATTCTTTAGTAAGTTTAGTAACAGTGTACCCTTGGCTAGAAATTGGTAACTGGAGTATGAAATTCTTCTGAATATAAAAAATGTAAATATTAATGAGAAAATTATATAATTTCTATTGCACTATATGAAGATATGTCTAAATAAAATGGGATGGAAAGTGAGCCATAAGTTGTTCTTCATTTTCATGTGAAAACAAGATTAACCATCTCTTCTGCTGATTTGGTTTTGGAGAAAGAATAAAATGAAATAAAAGTATGGTAACTGCTTCTAAAAGATAGTGATTTAAAAAAAATTAAAGTATAGAGTACTAGGAGGCTTAGCTTGTTCATTTATCTACTTTATTCTGCCAAAAGCAGAACCACAAATGTATCCTAAGCTTTTGAAAAATAATCATTAATTCTCTCAATGTTTCTGGGAGGTCATGATCAACTATATTATTCCATTACATGATTAATTATATTATTATTCAACTATAACCTTTTACTTTATTGAGAAACAAACACACAAACAGAAGTAATCAAAGAAGTTGATGAGTTAGTCTGTAAGAAGCTAACACATCAATGAAGAACCAGTAATGGAAGCAACTTCTCTTTACTTTCCTTTTAGGGCAATAGTCACTATATTACTCTACTTCCCAAGAAAAGCTGGCAAGGATAGGCCATTTTATTTTCAGTTTCCTTTTGTAAACAATCTCTGTAGTTGACAGAAATAGACCAACCTATCCTGTAAATTTTCCATAAACATTCTCGTCATTTTCAAAAGCCCGCTTCTCATCCTACTGCCCTATTTGAAATACTAGTGTTCTGTATTGGTCTCAAATACGATAAGCGGACAAACCAAGCAATACATGAAGTGATTCCATGGATGTGTAGAGTTTCTGTCAGCTCTGTAATTCTACAGCTCATCATCTGTGTGCTTTGTCCCGGGAGATGGTATTCTTCTGCAACTTTTAAGAAAGAAATGCGCATGCAGAGGCTTTACATTGGTGCCCTTCCTTCCTTGGGTGCCTTAGTCCTGCACAGACAATCAGCGATGAGCATTCAGACAAGCTGCATCCCTACCATATATCAGAGATTTTACTAATGAACCCCACATGGTAAGGTTGTATCAGGAAATAGTTTTGCCCTGGAACAAAACAGTCCTCATTTCTTATCTAGTCAACTGAGTAATAAATCCTGTCTTCGTTCCTCTTCCAGTGATGGTAAATGTTTCCCTCTGAGCCTTGACTTGTTCTTCATTTACATGAGGAAACAAGATTAGCCCTATCTTCTGCTAATTTGATTTTTTGAAACAAGGAGTGAAATGCCCCTGATAATTTTCACCTGGTATCATCTTTGATTCAGGTCATCAAAAGTTACTAAGATCTCATTTTCAGAACCTACTGAACCATCATCTTCAGAGACAAGCACATAAGAACCTAGGTTGATTTAAACTTCTAACTGCCACCTCCCAAGACAGAACAGCAAGAAAATAAAATCATGTTTTCATTAAAACAAAAACTTAAAACATCTCCTGGGGCTTACCTACTTTAATCTTTATTTCCTACCGAAATAACCTATGCCAAAAGCTACAGTTTAATCCTTTATTTGTGAAAAAAAAAAAAAAGTAGAATATTTATGAAACAACTATGGGCATGCCCTTCTTT